TCAACATTGCAATCATGAATTGAACTTATCAACACATCTGGTACGCAAGGAAGCATTTGCCCATCAGTTGGAAGATTTCTGGTACCAACATAGAGTTGACCACTTGTACAGTTCAGGAAAAATAACTTCCTGCTATATGTACAAGAATCTGCCACAACAACATATTCTGATCTACCAGTAAAACCCAGTTTACGTCTTATCTTCATTGTTTCTAAGACTACCTGACGTAAGGGCATCAAATACACGGTTACCAAGTGGTTATAATATGCATAACCACCTATGAGGCCCAATGGACAGCCAACCAGGCTATTTTGAAAATGTTTTTCCTCAAAAGCTTGACCATTATGAAAACGATAGAGGATCCTTGTTGGAAGAGGAAGTTTCACTTTCAAGATTTTCTCCAGCTCTTGTATATCAGCTTCTGATGCACCCTTTTTCAGTGTAGAAACAGCCTCTGGAAAATTAATAGTCAACCAGTTTCTAAGTTTGTCCCAGCATCTTTTGACTCGCTTTACAAGCGACCAAGGATACATTTTAAAAGATACACGCCATAGTTGGTAACTTTCCTGAAGAGAGGAGGTGTGTTAGTAAAAATAATATTATTTGACAAGATATTAAATATATAACAAACTCAAAAAGGTGTCAACCCTGCTACTCGAAATATGATCCATGAAATCTTCACGGCTACAGAGCTCCATGAAGTGTTAGACAATCATACACACCAAAATAGTGAAGCTGCTAGGAAATAAGCAAAATATGTATATCATGTTAACAAGCCATCACATGCAGCCCCATTCTGCATGTGGAGAGACAAAGAAATGTAAACAGAGAAAGACATATAAGTACCTCCCCACCCTGCACCTTGAAACCCAACAAAAGATGGGGAACAGTGATTAGAGGTTTAGAATCCAGGACCTTCTACAAGTCAAAGCTCTGATACCAAGTTAGACGATAACTAGACCTCAAAGAATTAAGCCATTAGGTGATGGCCCCAAACATGGATCAAGCAAAAAAGGACTATATTCCTTGGAAATCAAGCCACGTCTCACAGCGGTGCTACAAGTTTTGGACCAAATATGATATGTATAATGCAATTTAAGCGAAAAAACAGAGAAGCTTACTGCAAGAACTGCACAAAAAGTCTAAGTACACATCTAAAGAACATGAGACTGCACATATCAGCTCTCGGTCATCCCATAGAGCTGAAGAAACAATACTCGCTAAAGTATGTTTCCAATTTAGAATCAAGAAGCAAATTTGAACCTAACAAACCCCTACCCACTACCCACACTATTATTGGAACTAGACCCATAACATGACAAGGCATGGATTTCATATGGAACACCACGCCGGAGCCTTGACCCCTTAAAATTTGAGTCTTCAACCCAAGTTCCCAACCGATCAATCCGTCATGTTAATACGCAGTCTGTGCAAAAGCCTGTGATGGATTTCCTATGAAATTTCCACAAATACAATCGACCCAAATCAAAATGGAAGAATTTCAATCTTTTAACAACTCTGGAGAGAAATGAGAGGTCCCCATAAAACCAACCCAGAACCCGAAACACAGAAGTAAACACCAACCCACAAACCAGACTGAAAATTCAACATTTTTTCATTTGCCCATTTTCACATACACCGACATACATAAGAAATTGGAAGAAAAGTTGGAAAACTGTGTGAATATATATACGATTCATACATAAAATTTTGAATTCAAAGGCCAAATTTTTTTGAGAAATTGACCTTGAAAGAAGGGGCAAGGTTGCCAAGGGGGTCGAGGGGTTGCGAGAGGTGAAGGTCTCGAGCACAGAAAAGGGACCAAAGGGATTCATCGGAGGCGGAAGCTCTGAGTTTGGTGCTGACGCATGCTGCTCTCGCTGAGTCTTCCGCTCCTAACTTGCTGAGGATTATGTGCAGCGCAAGATCACCCACTGCCTCCAAATCCATCTGTCCGATTCAGCTCTTACTCTCGCTTTCTCTTTCAGACTTTCAGGTGCCTTCTGCTGTGGTGGCGGGGACGCATTTATATATGCTGCCTAAACTCACTGTCGAATGTTCTACAGCGATATAGAGAAAATGGGGGCAATAGTATTAATATCGAGTTAGTATGGCTATTGATATTACTCTCTACTTAGAATGAAAAATTTTAGTTCAAATCTCGTTGATGGTAAATTTAATGTCAATTTAGGCTGTTCATTATGTGATTTAGTCGAACTCCATCTCTTCTTGTAAATTCTAATCAAGTTAAAATTTAAGAAATATCGCTCTAATTATCCCAACATATAATATCCTTCCAAAAACTTTAATGTGCTAGAGTATATGCTATTATGCGATTTTAACCTTTTAATGTTCGACTTTTTAATCGTTCAATCTTGATTTCTATGTATTTTTAATGAATAAACTATTTAGATCATTTGATGCTCAAACCGCCATAAAGAAGTTTCATGTCATAACTTCTAAGTAAAGCACCATAAAATTAAAAAAGTATCGTGTTCTGAGTATTAATGGTAGCAAGTCACATAGTTATACATATAGTTTAGTAATATTTTCATTCATTTATAAATCAGAAAATTTTTATTTTAATTTCGTGAATGATTTGATACTAATTTACTCTTTCATTTCTTTCTTTTTTTTTTTTTTTTTTTTTTTTTTTTGTAAATACCATTGTATGGAAAGAAACTACAACCATCTCTAATGCTAGGTAGTAAATTCTAAATGTGTGGCTCACTAAAATACATTTTGGTACGCTCTTCTTCAAATTTCCAATTTGAACCCCTTGGTATTATATCAATTAATACTATAGTCTAATGATATTTTTTTTTTATAAACAAAAAATCTCGTGTTTAACTTACATAGATAATAAGTTCAATACCAATTTATTTCTTCACCCTGTAATTATATGGCGGTAAATACCACCAATTGGTCATGACAATCACTACTGTTACATTACTTCTTGGATGAATTTGATTTAACCTTATTCTGCATGCCAATTTTTTGAAGCTCTTCAATTAAGGTGAAGCTAGAATTTTGTGGCTCCAAAACCTAGAGCCAAGTTAAGACAATAGGTCCCAATATTTCAACAAATAAAAGAAAGTCTCAATTTCAATCAACAATATGATCTTATTATGTCATTCTGTTGATCCTAAAAACTACCAAGCTCATGTGATGCGCAAACTGGGTAATTAATAAGCTAATTACGTCCTTCAATTATGTGCAGGGTGTGCCAACTCGTCAACCGAACTCGGTCGGGGAGTAGAATGTGTTGATGTCGCGTTGGGCACGCTGCTGACTTCTCGATCTTGCAATTGCGGCCGAGGAAGGAACACATATCGGCCTTTGGGTTCTAAAGCCTGAAGACAACGCTACTAGTTCTACGAAGTTCACAAATTGTTGGCCCTGGGTTCGGTCACAATGATTATATTCGTGAGAGTATAAGCACGCCGAATTGGTACCAAACTATATGGACACAAGTACCCAAAAGAGATATACGTCTTGATTGTAAATGTGGTTCGGCCATCGGAATGCCGAACTCTAAAAGATACTTGTGAATATCCAATCATAAAACAAAACTCAGCTTTCAATGTACTGAGCTAGTAACCTATAACACCTCATTTCGCCGAGAAGGCTAATGAGATGACCTATACCAACAAGGATCCGAAAATCCTTGTCGACCGAGTCTTGGATAAATAATTAGTCGGCCTCAAAGTAGTGCTGTTTATCCAAATTGAAGGTGCTCTTTGAGGTTGATTCTAAGGCTCTAGTATTGTTTATCCAAACTGAAAATGTTGCCGGTTGCCTTCACAATGCTGTTTATCCAAACTGAATATGTGTTGCTGGGAAGAAAAAGGGAGAGGAGAAAATCTCAGGGTTGTAGAGAAATTTTGCACATGGCAATTTGAGTGTTGAATTGGAGAGGCCTTGAATGATGCACTCCCTTCTTTATTTATAGTAGCGAATCCCCTCATGGCCGAACTAGAAATGGACTAGGATTAGAACTCCTCAACCCAATCCGACCAGGTTTCGGCCAATCCTAATTCCTACAGGACTTTGAACTAAGCTTCTTAACAAACTAGATTCATCCCCTAATTCTCAACGTCCTTAGCCTTAAGAATCCTTGTTGCAATAGGATTCGACCAACTCACCCTTATACAAACCAAACCTCTTCGTAATAGGATTCGGCCGACCTTAACTGGACGGCCCATAACAAGATCCTAGATGAATGCCACTAGGCCGAGAATGACTATAAGCTTGGCCCAAAATAATATTTTGGGCCCAAACACATTCGTACTAGGACTTAGTAGTATTCATCTTATTTATAAATTGATAGTCTTATGTTCCAACTCCTATAAATAGAGAGTTCGATACATAAGTTTAATGCCTACTTTGAAACTAGGAATGGATGACTTGTTCAAAAGTTTATCATTGAAACGTGATCTAGTTTCTTCTTTTGTGAAAACAGGATTTCGTTCCAATTATTTTTTTAAGTATTACCAGCTTTTGCTCTTGACAAGCAAACTGCAGCTGAAGTAACAGCTTTTGCTTCTCTCAGCCCATTTTTGCTTATTTCAGAACCAAAACTGAGAGGTTAGAGTTTGAGAGTGATTTGTTTAAGCCAAGGAACTCAATTGTTAGATTTCCAGCTACTTTATTATTGAGCTATCATTTCGGTTTTCAATTATTTAGACTGCTTACTGAACTTTGTAGCTCACTCTTTTTCCCTTCCCTTTCAAATCAGTTTTGGAGACTTGGAAGCAGTTACCTTTTGCTTTAGAAGTAACGTTAAGTGTCGCCTGCTCGAATTTAGCTTGGGCCGAATACCGGACGTGACATATGCACCATTTAACCAGTCGTAAGTTGTTAGAGTACTTTCTTTTAATCTTTATTTTACACACAGCGATAACTAAACTGCTAAAAAAAGGGTTCGAATTTGGATGCATAAGAGGTGGCACATCTGCTATAGTCAATGTCCCCTTAAAAGCCAAAACGAGAGAGGGAGATATACAACAAGTGCTCAATTAAAAGATATACGAAGGTTGATACTAACAATCTGAGAAGCTACACTCTAGGAAGAGAAAAACCAAAAAACTAGGGCAACATCACTGTATTTGTATGTGCTTCAAAAACTGAAACAAAAAATTAACAAAATAGGCATGTCGACCTTTCGAAACAAAAGCCAAACGTGCTTTTAAGCATGTACAAAATATCTCCCGGATTTTGAGTTCCTCGGAAGGACCCTCTTCTCTTTTCACGATTGCAAAACGAACGTCCATAACGCAAAAATCCGGTCTACTCCGAACACCTTGTAAACACGAACCTACAAGTCCGAATAGACAGCGAAACGCTGGTTAAAACCTTGAAATCAACGCGTAAAGATAAAAGATCCTTGAGTATGTAAATGAAAAACACATCTACTATTTGGTATCCTAATTTCGTATTAGTTGCTGTGATTAGTGGTCGAATCAACTTGTATATCAAGTAATGAGACATTATTTAACAGATTAGCGAACCCAACGGTAGATAATGATGCTCATCAGTATGTAAGCAAAACATTTGAATTTGCTTGACCGTTCAGGTAAATCATATCTACTTCTACTCAAGTTTTGTTCACAAGATAGACAGGGCAAAGTCGTTTCATTCAAAATTTCGGATTCGAATTGCAAATGTTGCAGGAAATTCGGATTCGGGTGTAAATGTTCCGGTTGGAAACTGCTGCAGGAAAATTGCAAATGTTGATCGCATTGAGAGCTTGTGAGGTTCGTGAGAGAGAGAGTAATCCAAGCCACCATAGTACAAAGAATTGGTGACTTTACAGCCTACATGAATTACACGACACAAAAAGCAGAGTCTACAAATGTTTGCACCAACGGAGAATATTTGATGTTCAACACTGTCGGTATGCTATCATCTATTATTTCCACTCAAACCAAAATCAAAACAAACAAGGAAAAACGAAAATGTGTGTATGATCTCCGAGATCCTGGGAAAAACGAAACACAAATGATTCGCATATTTGCTAACACACGTTTTCTGGTAGTGTTAAAACATTTATCTGTTTTGTTTCTTATTACCACAAAAAAAATTTTCTAGAGAACCAGAGAGTAAGTTTTTTCATAGGTTCCTATACATGCCAAAATTAGCACCAACAAATTTAACAAGACACTGCATAGAATCGAATCAGATGGACGGGAGCTGAAAGCTCGGCCTAGTACCGTTTCAAGAACACGGCAATTATCTTTTTCCCTGAATTTACGAGGCCATCAAATTATCACAGAGGAAACCAAAAGGATTCAGAGTTCATAGAACCAGCTGAACTTTAACCTGTCACAGGAGGCAAGTCTTAAGATGAACCTCTAACTTTCCACGGGTGACTATTATGCGTTTTTCTTTACTGCACTAACGTATTGTCAACTTTTTCACCATGAAATAGCTTTTAACATGAACCTATTTGGCCAATTTTGTATCCTTATAATTCAGTTTGTTAAGTTTACTTGTTTACAGAGTTTGGACACTTGTTACACGTTTGAAACCTCTCACAAACACAAATCCGGAAAAACAAGAGAGACTAAACAATTTTGGAAGCCAAACAAATCTCTATCCAAAATTACATACTAGCCTTTATGTCCTGCCGTTTTATGATGTAAATTATACCAAGTCATTTGTTTGAGAGGACACTATCATCTAAAATAGCAGATAGCTGACCATACTGATGCCTATATCGAGCGGAAATTGATAAGGGGAATGAGCTGAATGCCATTTAAAAGTTTACCATGTTATGTTAGCAGGAGAAGATGCAACTCTAAGGAGATATTCATCAACCAAGAATTGCATTTGTTACTAAAATATCCAAACAACTCTTACAGAACATAATTACATCTGATAGTTACAATTTGACAGGGTTGAAAAGGACACCCTAAGGTCGGATAATAGTCGGACAAAACCATTGCCTCGATATGACAGAAGAAAGTAAGCTATATCGAATGAGTTTAACCTACAGATAAAAAATTAACGCGTGCTGTATGGTAGAAGCATACTGAAGGGGAAAAAAGAAGATAAAATACTCCAATACAGTGTTCTTTTTCATAAAACTACAAACCGCTATAACTGAAAAACATGCCATCTGATATGAAGAACAATGCACTCAAACGGGAAGACAACAAACTACTGAGATGATTACCGCAAAAGAACAGCAGTTTCAAACAGAAAAACAAAAATAAACAGATGCACATAAAGTATTAAAAATACACGGGAATAATATAATAAGTACAAGAAAATTGTCAATAATATCAACAAGTGTAACATACACTGCTAACACAACTGACTGGACCAAATATGCAAACACGTATTCTTAAAGAGAAAACTAAGGAAAACATGTACTAAAAAAGATCTAGTAATGACAATGGCAGCGGCACCAAAATAGGAGGAAGAAAATACTTTCCCTTAGGAAACACACTTGAGTACTAGACCAGCAAAACTGTCCAAACTTACATAGAAACCATGAATATATATATAGTCAGGATCAGGGGACACACATGTCGACACACTTTCCAGGGCCCACTCCATAACTTTTTTCAACGATCCAAACCGTCTTATCTTTTCGGTCTTACCTCAAAGATCATGTCTACCAAAATCCGAAACCATATGACCGTTGGATTAAATGGTAGTCATTTTAGTGTTTCTTTGCTGAACCGTATTCGTTCATTATTTTCACTACAAATGAATGTTTTAATGGTTTTGGATTTGCCTAATTTTTTGCAAGGGTGATCTATGAATGATGATTTAAAAAATAGACAATTCGAATCACTGAAAAAAGTGTCCCCCAATCCTGACCCTATATGTATAAATATATTTTGGGTAAAGAGAAAACATGAATATATTAGACACTAAAAATCTTGATATAAAAAGTCTATATCCCTGTATACAACAATTCAATCTTACAACCCACCACAAACAGAACTCCTGTGCTATGAAACATAGGTTATTATCTGCTTTGCATGCTTGCGATCAAACAATCCAGTTTACAAGAAACCATTCTTTGCTCATGATTGCAACAGATACCTAAATATTATAATTCCATTAATTATATTAGTCCAATGGAAAAGCTCCAAAGTCAATTTCAAGGTGCCAACGCTACATAACTCTTCCTAAACTTTGCTGACACCAATACACAGAGAAGCCCAAAAAATGAGCCTCTCTCCAGCTTTTCAGCCCTCACATCCTCAAATATCTGTATATTCTATGAAAACAATCCTAGCAATAGACACCACTGAAAAACATCTTCCCCACCAAAATCGCCACAATATCTATATGAATAAAGAAAAATATCTAGACATACATGAACACTCTCGAGCCAACTACAATATTGAAAACGTTGCCGATGAAACCAGAACCACGATCAACAAACAAATCACTGAATACAAATATGCCTGCAGCAAGCCTATCCAACCAGAAATGTCACACCATATAAAGTTCTGCAACTCTACTTCCTAGGAAAGCTGTGATAAAATAAAACCTAAGGATTTAATTACACAAAAATACCACCACATCAGTTACACCATATGAAAAGAAAAGAAAGCAAGCAAATAGATTTTCCAACTAACAGAATTTTCAAAATGCATGTTTCTCTAGAAAAACACATTCATTCAAAAGCACAAGTCACTAACACCAGTGGCGGAGCTAGACAACGTTGGTAGCAGGAGCCATATAAGGGGCATAAAAAATACTATCTAGACAAGAGAAAATCATTATTCTCAAAACCATATCACACAAGTAAGACAATTCAACATTAAAATCATATACCTAATGAAATATATAAGACAAGAAAAATCAAAACTACGTGATTGACGAATGTAACACAAAAAATTGATGTGGTTTTTTTCTGGATGAAATATATTGTAGTTGAAGTTTGCATGTTGATATCTTATGTCAGATAAGCATATTGATAACAAATTACACATTAACATGTGTATATATTATTAAAAAAAATTATTTTCAGCAGAGGGGTGATAAAAACAAAGGTTATATTATAATACTATTTGGTGTTATTAAAAATAAAAATAAATAAAAAAAAACCTATTTGGTGTAAAACATTTGGGAAGAGAACCTAGACAGTTATACCTTAATTTGGAGGGGCCACGTTGCAGGATTTAGTTGAAAGGCTTCATATAATTATACCTTCTATTGAAACATTTACAAAAATTGTAGGGGCCATGGCCAATGTTGGTCTCTTGCATGCTCCGCCACTGACTGACACAAACAAATAACTGAACGTGGATGCCTATAGAGCCAGGAACGACACTATAGTTCGATATCCAGAAGAATGATTCGCTAAATCTATCCCGTGAAGTAAGAGAAAACAAATACTAGCACATAAGTTTCACCATATGCAAAGAAAAGAAACAAACACATGAATTGACCGACTAATACTTCCAAAAGATGTGGTTTTCTCTAGGAGCACACTGATTCAAGGAAAAGTCATACGCAAACAAGTCACTGGACATACAGCAAAGCCTATCCAGTAAAATATAGACACATCACATATTGTTCAATCGCCCTAGGAAATATGTGCTAAACATATGGCATTAATTAATATAAAACACATACTAGCACATAAAATTTAATCATATGCAAAGAAAAAAACTAACCATAAGCCAGAGACAGAAAAATACCTATACGGGGATATAATTATCATTGTTGACTTCCAGACCCTCGCCCTGCTTGACTGCCCATTTGCTGCTGTTGTTGTTGCTGCTGTAATTGAAGGAGGAGGTTAGCCGCAAATTGGAGCGTCGACTGATACCGATGATTTTTGTCTGCCTCACCATCTGGGGCGCTCTGACCAGCCCCAGCCCCAGCCCCAAGTGAAGGCTGAAGCTGCTGCATTTGATTTGGGTATTCTGGGTTCACCTTTTCAGCCGCTAATGGCAGAAAGGTCTGAGACTGCGAATTAGCACCATAAGTCTGACCAGAAAAGGCCATAGAATTATTGTGTTGCTGAGAAACAGGTGGATTGTACAACACAGAAGTATCTGTTCCATGTGCTGAAAAGCCTTTCTGAGTACCAAGAGGAGCTTCAGCCAGATAGTGCTGGTTGAGATGAGAGGGTCCAATAGTTTGTCCGCCTTGAGAAGGGATTGTAAAGTTATTCAAAGGCCTAGATGAATTTGCAGACTGCGAGGGCTGACTGGTAGAAGAGTCTGGGATTTGGTTGATACCAGGGGCTAGTGGGGCAGAGTGGTTGGATGAGTTTGGAACAGATGGATAAGGTTGGTACTGCGAATGATTCTGTTCGTGTGGATTAAACTGATTACCTAATTGTTGTAATGCATGACCGGTATGATCAGAAATTTGTTGATCTTGTTTCCATCCAGGAGAAGATACTTCACTAGGTGCAAAAGCAGGAAATGAATGCCTAGCAGCTGAGGATACTGGTACCCTAGCACCTTCTGGACCAGACGGCTGTGCATTTCCAGGCAGTAAAGTCGCCAGAGTGGCAATAAGTTCAGGAGTTAAAGCAACTCCAGCTTGTGATACTGCAGTACTATTACTAGAAGCATAGTCTTGCGGTTGCACTCTAGAGGACTCGCCATTAGGTGGAAACAGTGGTTTTGCAGAAAGCTTTGAGTCCTCATACAAAACCCTGTTATAATCCATAGGCAAAATATGATCCTCCTTCGGTGGGATTACACTATACTCAACTTGTGAAGAAGGAATCTGCTGTCTATCTATAAACTGTGAAGGTGGCATGGGCTGCATCTGTTCGTGCATAGAAGCAGTACTAGGAACTGGTGGAAACTTGAGAACCACACCATACAGACGTTCAGGGCCTGCAACTTTTAAAACATTCTTCAAGAAATCTGAAGGAGGCACCAAGAATAAGGTCATCCCATCATCAAACTTTGCAACACCAGCACGGTTTTTTGCACCTAGATAACGTAGGAATTCAGTGTAGGAAGCAAAATCATCTTCACTATCTGGCAAGAAGAAAACGATATCAAATCCAATGGCCTCAGCATAGTGTTTTGTGAGCATATCCAGTCCAGTTCTAGCCGAACAATTAACAACTTCAGGACTGCAAAACAGAAAACAATTACATTAAATACAAACAAGAGAATTCTCTCTACACGCACCAAAAACAACCCATGCTGATATAATAAGATAAGAGGGGCAACTAAGTTTATTTTTGAAGATTATCCAGAAAAAGAACGAAAGAATCATAATAAATATTTTTTGAAGTCCAAAATCATTGAGTCTGTAAACAATTTGAAAATAAAGAGAGATATTAGCAAATCTGAACCCACTTTAGTGCTTTTAGTAATCATATTAAGGATTTAACAACGTCATTAACCAAGTTGTTTGGTTCCAATCAAAAAACAAAACAAAAAACGTTGTTTGGTTTATACATTATCTACCTGCATACTGAAATACATATGGAACGCATGATTATGAGTTAACTCAAATATCATTTCTATAGGGTGAAGGATAGGGTAAGAAGTATTAGTTTGAAACTGTAAACTTGCAAAACCATAAAGAAGAAAAGTTTAAAGCATTGGGATAGATAGTTCCGGAAGGCAAGATCATAATAAAAAATAATAATAATAATCATGTCAACGTTTCACATTAATAATAAGATGACCGTAGTATTTTCTATGCTAAACGTTGTTTGGTTTATACATTATCTACCTGCATACTGAAATACATATGGAACTTATGATTATGAGTTAACTCAAATATCATTTCTATAGGGTAAGGGATAGGGTAAGAAGTATTAGTTTGAAACTGTAAACTTGCAAAACCATAAAGAAGAAAAGTTTAAATCATTGGGATAGATAGCTCCGGAAGGCAAGATCATAATAACTAAATAAATAATAATGTCAATGTTTCACATTAATAATAAGATGACTGTTGTATTTTCTATGCTAATAGTCTTATTAAGTTCAAAAGGGAAGGGCTTCAGGGGCTTCTGGAATAAAGTAGACAAACTGCTAATAGTAATGGCTTCATCCATCCATACTTAAAATACATTGAATAAATAAAAAAAGGGTGTCATAGAACATGCATTAGAAAGAAAAAAAGCCTAGACACTAAACAATATTTTACTAAGTGTGAAGTAAGTCGTCTGATCAAGTTCACCTAGACCCTCTTTCAAGACACATCATTTGGCACATCAGTTGAAACAATAATTTAGTTTCCAAAATACTGAGAATGTAAAACTGGATGAATAGGAAACGGTTGCCAATATAATCATGAGAAAGCTGATATTGCATGGATAAATATGAACATTCGTGAAATACTATGGTTTCATAGTCTTGGTAACTTGATAATATACTTTTATCCAAATACCATAGTGCAGTGGAATCCATGTACATGTTCTAAGTAGAACAAAGAAATTATGCCATACGAGTCCCCAAAGAAAATGATAAAAAACAGAAGATGAAAGGAAAATTGTACTCACAGCTCATTTCGTATTCCTTTTCCTATAGGGACACAGCGAGCATGGCAAACAGGTGTTCCACCCTTGGCAATAGTTCCACGCCATATAAAATCATTTTCAGGAGGCCCTCCAACTGAGACCCTTACACCAGCTGGACTAAGGCGATTCTTCCCTTGGACATTCATAGATGGTCTGGAAGCACCTCCATCAATTACCGGACCAAGTCCGTAAGACGAGTCGAACCCTAATCCATGGTCATCAATGTTTCTAAACTGATATGGAGGGTCGTCCATGGACAAAGGACTATCTATTCTTGATCGTTTAGCATCCTTTTGAAATTGGTTAGCATCTAACACATCCCATGCACTAGATGCAGGTCTCGTGGGTGGCCTACTACCAGGCACAGGAGAAGACACGGCCCCAGGTGTGGGAGGAGACAGCTGCCTCCAGTTGGGACCCATCAGGTTCTTGGAATTTCCGTCTTGATAATTATGAAGCGATGCCAAATCATTAAGTTCTGGACCTGAAAGCAGAGGGTCAAACCTACCTTGAGGACCTAAAGGCCTCATTGGAGCATTTGGTCCTAGAATGCCATTTTGTGGTAGTGCTCCAGGATAATTATTAGACATCATTGGACGGTTATGACCAAACATGTCCATTGGTAAAGACTGAAAAGGATGTTCATTGAATAACATATCTGATCTAGGTCCTTGGCCTCCAGGATAAGGGCCAGGGTATTCTTTCCCAGGTGCCAGCCCACTGCTTGAGAACATAATTGTAATCCGAGGATCATTGAAAAGCCTGCCTTGCAAGCCCTCCTTGGCCCGCCGAGCTTCATCCACACTCCTGAATTCAACAAAGGAGTAGTGTCTTGAAGGAAAACTTTTAATTCTCTCAATCTCACCAAACAAAATCATGGCATTGTGGAGCATTTGTTCATCAATCTGCACAGAAGGAGGATAGCCCACCCACAGAACATTACTGGGTTGACTGTCACCTTTTCGTCCCCCGGAAGATTGAGAATACTGCAACATGACACAAAAGTTAAGAGAAAATAATCACAACAGAGAAGTTTACTCCCATTTGGAATTCACATACGGATTTCCATTTTCTATCTAGCCCACAAAAAGCATAAATCAGACCCTAGGTACCAAAGGTAAGTCTACAACTCTGAGTTATTTATTGGAGGTAAGATGCACCTTGTGTGACATAACCAGCTCACAAATAGTTCTTATGAAGCAACAAATGTACACACAATCAACATTGTAAGAATTTACCATTTCTAGTTGAAACACTATATGCAACTTATTCCTCACCTGTTGTCTTTTATGAGAATCAGCAGGCCCCATGTTTCTGGCCAGAAACTGTCCATCTCTGTAGTCAGGCTGTTCCTGTTCAAAAGACCAAAGGAAACCAGAAACTCTTTACATATGAAAATATAATGAAATTTAACTATTGTTCATTTTCACTAAGCGTTTTAATAAGTAACTGAAGCCGGACATTTTACAGTGAACATGCAAATGCATTAATCAAAAAACACTGATCAATAAATGATTGTTAATAGATGCTTCTCCTGATTGTTTGATTCAAATTCTTGTTGATAATATGACTGGAGTTTCCATGCCTAGGTCAATTGTTTCTTAGTTATTCTTTTTTTCTTTTTCTTTTTTTTTTTTCCATTTAAACAATGATTATAAGTTTATGAAATTTAAGTAATTATGGCGAATTCCTTCTATCCATTTAATAAGTGTAATATATATTTGGCATTGTTACTCAGGTGGGAGTGTCATGTCCTTAAGACACCCACATAGAACTAGAAAGAATCCTTCAAAACAAAGTGTCAACACCAGAAAACACTGAACTTGCCACGCAGAGAGCCTATAACTGCTCTCTAATTAATTTTCACTCGCAAAATTTCTGCTAACCTACAAAGTCCTGGAACCGCAATAATACACCCATGGAAATACCATTGAAGTTATGAATAATAAACTTACCCTTCTCGAGTATTGTGATCGAAGATAATCAACGCGTATCTGGTCACCACCCAATCTCTTCCCGTTCATGTTTCTCATTGCTTGGGAAGCATCCTCCAATTTAAAATATTCAACGAATGCAGTATTGCGGTCTCTAAGGAACTTGAAGTCCTCCATTTTTCCAAACTTACAAAACTCTTCTTCTAATTCTTCCTTTGAGACAGATGGGCTAATTCCACCTACCCATAGATTCTTGCAAGGTTTTGCCTGTAAATACAAGCACATAAGAACCACAAACTTCAGGTCCCCAAGAATGTAAAAGGTGCACAAATTTATTTCAAGCAAGGATAAACAAATAAAGTGTGAAACAAAGTGATCTCAGGATTAAAAACACTTTGTACAACAGTTGCTAAGCAGAGGAAGAAAATCACAAATATTACTATGCTAGACATAACAATGGCAAGATGAATGCATCAAAACTTGAAGTAAGCCATATCCGGACAGACTGGCTAATGCATGCATAGTTAAGAACATATTCAGTAGAATCCATGCATCAACACATTCAGGGGGCTAATGCATGCATAGTTAAGACCATAGGCTTGATTTCATACTAGGAAAAGCTAAAGACATACTAACACAAAATAAATGGGGAAAAAACAAATCAACATGATAAACATATTCCATCTCTATTCCTCCTTTTGATAAGGCAATAGAAGCAACTAGGTCATTTGCTTCTTTTTCTACTTTGCAAAAAATAAAATGGCGTGTTTAACACTACAACGTATGCCCCTTGCCTTAACCTGAACATGATACCATATGATTGTCCTTCTATAACTTCATATTTGCAAATATCTACCGACCTTCCTCCATCCCCGTAAGTGACAGGATGGAGATTTAAAGGTTACTGATAGGTGAGGGGTAAGAACTAAAGTGTGACCAAGACTAAAGCACAATACAAGTACATAGGAGAGATATCTACATCTGTTTCACAATGTTGCTATCCCTACGATTGTTTAAATTTCTCTTTGTCAATTTTGTTATGGGACTACCATTTTGTTGCTAGACAAAAAACTTGAGAGAGATGCACAGTGCTTCATCTGATCCAATTAATACAAATTATACAATCATTTTGTAACTTTCTTTCCACAACACTTGTTCTCACAAGACTTTGTTCTCCTATTAACTCGTTTATTAAAACACATATAAGCTCAACTGATAAAAATCAATGGATTGCAAATGTACGATATATGGGTGGTAAAAGAAGACAGTGAAGCTTAGTTCCTAGTAAATTGCCATCAAACTAGAATTGTTAGATCCGGTCTGCTCCATCCTCAAAGGTTGATTAGCTATCTTTTGAGATTTTTGTGTACACAAACACCTAACACTTTGGTGTCAACTTGAAACAGAAACACACCTTTGTGCGCTTACTGGCATTGGTAAACGTTTGAGTTGTTTGTCGAGGTAATAAGTTTTGGGTACAGTCAATGAGGGTTCCGCAGGCTGTAGTGTTTGTTTGACAGTTTGATTCAGAGGAGATGGTGTTTGTTTCGCAGTTTGGGAGCTTGGCAATGATTATAGAATTCTTTCAGTTGTGTTTGCACCTCAAACATTGAAACTAAAGCACAACTAAGATTGATGTGGGTGCACATATATTAATTTTGGTGCTCAAGTTGAAATTGAAACAAGCCTATTTTGGTACTAAAACTTAATATGAAACTGAAACACAACTTTTGCACTCAATGACGTCGGTTCATAATGTTGTATTGCGCTTTAGGTTGAAATGAATCACCTATCTGGACAAGGGGATTTCAATTAATCACCTATCATGTTACTGGAGTCGTATTTGATCATTCGCAGAGACCAACAAACGCTCAGGTTGTGCATTGTTTCGCGGTTTTGGAGCTTGGACATGTTTATGGGATTCCTTTCAATGGTTTTTGAACCTCAAAATCTTCATAACTGATCCTCTGAGATTGGTGTGTGCACGAATATTGAGTTTGGTGCTTCAGTATTGGTTAAAACCCCCCTTTGTGCACTAACTGACATCGATTCAAAATTTTGAGTCGAGCATCTGTATAAATGTTTTGTACATCTGATATGCAGGTCACAATAATATTTGAAATCACTCCTACCCGTGGGGGAAAAAAGAAGAAGAACATTTAAAGTAAAAAAGCGAAGCTACTACTAAGTTCTTATGCAGAGACCTAACCGCAGACGTAAAATCTGATTCGCAGTTTTGAGGCTTAAATTGGTTATGTAACCAATTGGTCACACTAACACATATCTTGGTAATTGTTAAACTTTTACACCGAATCAGATTCCAGGAAATAAAGGGAAAAATCTTAGCAATGGATGTATGATTAATTAAAAATATCCTTCTTATCCTCAAAATCATCCACGCTGGAATGGAAATTATCGATGCTAAGCACTCTAGAATGGGATGCCTAAGAACATACAGTGTCGCAAAACAAGGGCAACTTAAATCATAACTGTGAATATATTCTGAGAAATTAAGGAAGCTGAACATCATCAGCATCCATATACGTCTCAGTTTCCCCATTAAAGATTATGTTTTTTCATGCCTTAAATGTTATTGTTTAAGCCCAATTCAACAATTTGAGGCTTTTAGATTCGTAAGCGAAACCTTCCCAATTCCGAAGAGAGGGGCAATGAAAAACGCGCAAATTTCCTAAGCTTCTAATCAAATAAGCGCATCACTCATACTCTTCGTCTTTAAAATCGGGAGAATAGATGATGATGATGATGATGATAAGCACAATTTGATTGAAATCGAATAAACACGAATTTCTTGTTCGAAAATCAAAGCAATCAATAAAAATCATACAAAAACAACCAAATAAACCTAACGAAGCACAAAGATCAATACGAACCGGTCGGGCAAACTCAATCTTAACAGGGTTTCCGCGCAGAAGGGCACCTTGCAATGCCTCCTTGGCCGCCGCGGCGTCCTCCACGCGCTTGAAGAACACGAAGGCGTAGCTCCGTGACGAGTAGGAGGTGACGCTATCCAAAGCACCGAATTGGGCGAACAGGTCCATGAGATCGGCGTCGGTGACGTCGCTCGCCAAATTTCCAACCCAGAGATTGTTCGACGGCGTCTCGGAATCGTCTGTGCCTTGCTTATTTGGTTTGGCCGCAGGCGCCATTGCGATTGAATTGAATCGAATTGAATTGGGGCTGAATTGAAACCCTAGCAGTGTACAGACTGAAGATCGGGCGAAACTAACTGAATTTCTGGATACGTTTAGGGTTAGGGTTTGGGAGATTTGAAAGTGAAGAAGCCATATATACTTCTTTTGAAATTAGGGATCGAATAATTAGAAAGGAGAGACGTCAGGCATGCCGGGAAAGCCAGTTATATACACAAGGCAGAGATAGGCTTTCCTCCCTCACCCGTTATACAATATGAAATGACAAATATACCCCTAAGCTTTTGTGATGGACCGTCCGATTTCCAGCAAAAAGCTTTGAAACCCGCGGCTTTCTTGCTACGGGTGCATGATATCTGGTGCACCCGACAGATCCTTTCCGGATCTTTTTGAAGAGGATATTAGAAATTCGTAAATTATATACGTTTATTATATATTGTGCGATCAGTTTTTATCAATTACTGTTTGTATTTAATTTTAAATAATTTTTTACCGTACAATATACGATAAATAAATACGATTCACGAATTTCTAGAATCGCATTACATAAAATAAGTCCAACTTAGCAGTCTTCTTTCCTTTTCACACGGGTGGGCTCCGTGAACAAGAATCTTCTTTCAAGATTTTCATTTAGCCAACCAGAAATGGGTATTTGCGACAAGTGGATCATATTGAGCCCTCTTGCATTCCATTGGAGATAGCACAGGGTTCGTTCACTTGGATATGATTTTAATAGTATTTGTTTGGAAATACTTATTAAATGATTCGAAAAGCAGTTTAACAAGCAAAATCACTTGTGATTGTATTTAGCAACAAAACGTACAAACCTTTTTTTGTTACATGCCTAGAAGCATTTTGATTTTCAATAAACTTTTATAAAACGTTTACGATTGGAAATGCTTCTTAAAAGGTTAGTCGTCTTTTTATTATGGATGACTGATTTACTTAAGCCAAAATCTCCATTCTAAAATTTCACCATGAATATCGTCGCCGCCACTTCTACCTTACCATAGCCATCGCTACCACCACTCCCTTCCCACCACTCACTCCAAGCCCACAACACAACCACCAGCAGCATTACCTTTACTAACACCACCCTTACCATGGACAATTACTACCACAGCAACATCACTGCCGCCAACCCCGCTGCCACCACCCATCATCGTTGCGACCACCTCACTGCCATCACCGTCCACCAACACCTCTATTATCACCACATTTCCATGGCCATCATTATCACCCCCACATTGCCACCACGAACTTCAGTTCCATCATCACCACCACCATCGTCGTTGCCACCACCTCACTGCTACCACCACATTGCCACCACATCACCTACACAATCACCACTCACCGTAACCGCCACTATCACCACTACAGCCACCACAACCTTGCTATGGCACCACCTGCACCCCCACCACTACGACCACCACCTCAACCCAAGTGAATTAATGTCTGTTGAGTTAAAAATTCTCACTTACGTCGAACCTCAAATTTATTTCCCTAATCCAAATGCAGCGATGAAGATTTACTTGAGGGGCCTCAAGTACTAATCTATGTTACCAATCTTTCCCACTCAAAGCAAAGCTTGATTCCTTCACCCAAAATGAAAGAAAAGGATGAAAACAAAGCTTGATTCGAACCACCTCACCGGATTTGTAAAAACAAAAACATCAAACTCACAACACAGACATGCCGAAAAGGCATCGATTTCTACAGCCTAACCTTTTTGCTCTCTCTTTTGTTGGGTTTGCCCCAAAATCTATATGTTCACACAAATCTAACCTAGTTAGCAGGCCATTGGATTGGATTTATACAGTTAGAAAAACTTCAGCGAAAAGGCTATCGAGGTCACAGTGGCAGCTATTTCTGATGCTTTACTGTTGCGGCTCCTTTATCGTGATCCAATATTCCACGTTTTTTAAGATATTGTTGCACAGAAGCGGGTACATTTGTTTTCAACGACCCAGAAACTGATATGAACCTGTTGAGCAGTAGCTTTGCCAATCCTTCTATTTCCGATTCATATTGCTCACAAACGAAAAATAGCGTGAAAGCCAACACCAGAGCTGCAAAATATTTCCAACAAGATCAATACAAAGTTTAAACAAATAAGCGATTAATTGACTCCGGCATGGTGAAACTGGCATTCTCTTACCTACACCTAACGACACAGTCGAGGCATGAGACAAAATCAACTTCAGGAAAACGAGGGAAGCTGCAAACTGTAGAGATGGCCACAAGAGAATAATTGCTGTCAATGAAAACTCACCCATTCATATAAAAGTTGCATTTCGAAAAATTAGAATTTGTGTCTCAGAAAGAGATATTTGTAAATAGAATAATTAACGGTTATTTTAGAAAAGAAAGAAAAGATGCTGAAGTTCATACTCTGCATGGATCAAATTGACGCAAACGTTTCCAACAAGTATAATAAGCAGGGGATACAATAGTATTGGTAAGTAGCGTTCAAATACCGCCAGTCAATTCCAATGTAAATCATTCAAATAGTCATATTAATTCTTGAGAATCTGGCCAAGATGAATAAATGAATTTAGGTCCAAATTTTCCTAACACTGCTCAAATTTTGACAGCTAAAACTGGCAATACCTATGCTCATGAAAAGGTTTCACGGGTAAAAGTTACATAAAATGTGAAATTGGACATTTTCCAGGAGTCATGCACTTCAATTAAGGGAATAAATTATTAGTGCATACCTTGAAGAAAATATCCCACCCATCTCCCTGGGCCAGTAGTCTCAAATAGCAAACCCCTCTGTTCCACAGATATGCTATCGTTGCAATCTTCTCTTTCACTACCATTTCAGGGATCTCAAAACAAGATAAAGATAGTGTCTTAAAGGTAAAACCCAACCTGTTCGAAAGACATTATGGTCAGTATATGTAAATTAACTAAAGCACAAAAGAATTCTTCCAGCACTTACGAGTTTAATCAAGCAAAAGCTTTGTAAACACAAATACTTACATCTTGGGTGGTAGAATCCCGTATCCATAGAGGCCAAATGAAACTAACAGCAGAAGCTTGGACATAGACGAGGCAAAAGTTCTTCCGGAAAGGAAAAACCAATAGTACAACATACTCAAAGCAAGGAAATATGTAAAAGACTTCTTCTCATCACGCCATAGCAGAATGTCTGCAACTGCAGTGACAGTTCAATGTTATTCCACAATCCAAATAAAAAAATAAAAAGCTTTCATGAAAGTTCTAGTAAGCATATTTTTCATTTATTAAAGCAAGAAACTTTCAATGAAAAGAAAAAGTACAAAAACAGAGGACAAAGTATCGTCTGGCCTGTGTGAATGCATATGAAAGACAATCACGTTTAATCTGAAGATGTTTTCTGAAATGCAAATCCTGTCTAAGTTGGTGTGTTCCATTTATTTTAAACTCTGTTCATCAGTTGAAGTAGAGCTGTGGACCAAATTGCGTATTACCATGGGACCATGCAAGAACAAATTAACATATGTAGCACTTGAACCCCAAAATCAGGCACAAAGTTCTGATTCAATCCCAGCCCTACCCAGTTATAAATTTTGTTACTAGGAGTCAAACGCACTCGGATAAAATCTGGGACATCTGATTTGCAGGTTTGAGGATAAGTGAAAGCAAAACTTCATCCTAGATAAACGAAAAAGGAGCTCAGAGAAAAAACAATATAATTAAAAATGAAAAAACGACTTCAGGCTTACAACGTGTAAGTGATATCAAAATAAAGCAGAAAATAAAATGGTACTACGGAAAACAACCTTCTCCACTGCCTAGCAGCTTCTCCACTTTTGATTCCTCATTAAAGTTTCTGAAAGTTGGGATGGATGAGTTTCTGGCTATATTAGAGAATGACTCAATGGTTAATTTGACACCTTCCTGTACACAGACAAAGAAGAATGTTAAATCTGGAATTGTTATGCTCTATAGTAAGCCATAGGAGAATATGACAATATACACCACTTTATATGCAACAAAAACTGTGGGAAATTATTTTCCAAAACGAAAGGATCAGGGAGTAGTCTTCATTAGTTTTCTGCTGTGTGCTATGTACTACAGTAATCAAATACTGCTCAGGATTCAGCATATAAGATGTGGCGCGGCAATGAACAAGTCAGGGCCTAACTAGCCAGACAGTTTGTATAGGTCAAAAGCTTCAATTGGATATCTATAGAAGGATGAAAAACCGCCAAGGATATTCCAATGCTGCAACTTGCAAAATATATTTGAACATGGAGAAAAACACATCACAATATTCTCTTTTATAGGGCAAGGCAAGGGTAAATTTGCAAATAAATGAATGAAAAACTTACTTCCAGTGAGACAACTGGTGAATACCCAATCTGGTTTTGAGCCGCAGTGCAGTTGAACGTTCTACTACGTGAAGCTAATTGAATGTAATGCGCTGACATAGAATTGTTGTATTTTATCCTTCCATACTTTTCGGCTATCCGTTTGATGAACAAAAGAATATACCAAGCCATCTTAGCAGGAACTTTCAGTAATGGCCTGCAATGAGAAAAAAAATGGTAAAAAATGCCTTCTGAGCATAACATGAAAAGATTCCAAAGAAACCTCAACAGATTCTAAAGAAACATAAAAATAATAAAAACCCAGAGTTGTTTTTAACACTTTGGACTACAAAGTACGTGAGTAAAAGCACGTAAAAGATGCCAATACAGAAGATCACATATCAGAATAAAAAAAAGGTGAAGATAAAATGAAAAATATACTGGTCAATTTAGGGTTTGAAAATAAGCTTATTTTTCAAGGGTGAGGGTGATGATATACATACACCCCTTTCTACCTTCCATTACACCTCTTAAATTTCAGCTGTCAGATCGAATGAATTGAAGAAGATTAAAGGACAGAAATTAACAGGAGCTGTGTGGGAGGTAAAAAGAGGTGCGTAGATAGCATCAACCTTCTTCAATATTTTCATTTATATAAATGTTCCATATGATAAGTAAGATGAAGCGTTTACTGAAATTTCCGAAATGGGTGTGCCCATGTACACAGATGATATAAAGCATTTTCTTCTTTTATACCTCAATTATAACCTCAAATCAAGCACAATAATGCATGAAAAATAAAAATTACACTTCACAATTAAATGAATTAATTAACAAATCAGC